GCTCTGGGGATGCTGCTGGCACACCCTAATGCTCCGCTGACGCTGCCGGTGCCCTGTCGGGGGAGGAGAGGAGGTGGTAGGGGGGAGGGCCTGAGAGGTGCTCCAGCACTTCCTGGTGACTGGTTATTTGGTTGTTATGGCATCACGACCACAGGCCTTGTATGCTATAGATGTATATACATATATATATTTAAATATATATTTAAGGTATTTTTTTTATTGATTTCATGGAAGAAGGGAGAGGGAGAAAGAGGTAGAAATATCAATGATGAGAATCATTGATTGGCTGCCTTCTGCATGGCCCCACTAAGGATCGAACCCGCAACCTCAGCATGTTCCCTTCACCAGAATCAAACTTGGAACCCTTCAGTCCAAAGGCTGACACTCTGTCCACTGAGCCAAATCAGCTAGGGCTGTAATTATTTTTAATTGTTTTGAAGAACTTTTAAAGTTTGTTTTGTTTGTGTTTATTCAGATTGTCTTTATGTGATCTTGCTGGTTCAGAACGAAGTATGAAGACCCAGAATGAAGGTGAAAGGTTGAGAGAGACTGGGAACATCAACACGTCTTTATTGACTCTGGGAAAATGTATTAATGTTTTGAAGAACAGTGAAAAGTCAAAGTAAGTGTTGCTGAAAGTGTTATTAGCATATTAAGTGTTATATTTAAACTTTCAACTTCACTAGTTTTAGAAAGTTGTTCTTAACCTGTATGACTACATATAGATTGTGATTAAAATACTCAGAGATTGCCCTGGCCTGTGTGGATCCATTGGTGGGAGCATTGTCCTGTGCACTAAAGGGTGGTGGGTCGGATCGCTGTCCCTGCATATGCCCAGGTTGTGGGTTGGATAGCTGGTTGAGGTGTGTGCGGGAGATGGCTGACCAATGTTTCTCTCTCACATCACTTCTCTCCTCCTCTCTAATATAAAAAATAAAATACTTGGAGATCGTGGGCTAAAAAACTTATAGAAATAAAAAGCATCAATTCATGCCAGTGACTCCTCAAGTAACCACAATTTTTTTCATACTAAATATGTATCAATAGACATTTTGCACAGTATGCTTCTCTAAAATCATTTTATTCTTACTAGTGCATTGTATTATTCTAGATGTGATAGGTTTCTGCATTAATTAACCTTTTAGGCTGAGTAACTTCTAAATCAGCCTTCATTATTTTGATCTAATCAAGGTGTTTCATGGCATATATTTATAATTGCTCTATATTAAAGAACACAATGCAGTGTTGTGTGGTTTTTGTTTTGTATTTTAACATTTTACCCTAATGGGTTGTTTTTACAAGTAGTAGTATTATTAATAGTAATTTAAAGAAAACAACATAAACAGAAAATGTTACACATAAAACTAATCACTAGCCTAGAATTAAGTCCATTATAGTTAGGTTATCTATTTCTCTCTAAAATTTATCAGCATCCTGATTTAATGGGATTTGCTTTAACTTAAAATTATTTGAATTTTTTCCGTAGGTTTCAGCAGCATGTGCCTTTCCGGGAAAGTAAACTGACCCACTATTTTCAAAGTTTTTTTCATGGTAAAGGGAAAATATGTATGATTGTCAACATCAGCCAGTGTTGTTTTGCCTATGATGAAACACTCAATGTGTTGAAGTTCTCAGCCATTGCACAAAAAGTAAATATATTCATAGTTCTATAGAATCTATTAAACCTCTTATTAGAATATTAATGATTTTTTTCTTAGGCTAGATAATTATTTTGCACTTATAACTGTAAACCTAAAATAATTGAAAATTAAAAATGTAAATGTTTGACCAAGTAGGAGGATGTGGGTGAAAATAAAAAAGTAACTCCTGCTAGGATTAAAATGACCTCAATAGTAAGTGTTAACTTAATCATAGGCACCTTTTACAAAATATGAGTACTATTCTTGGAATGAATTGTTGGCTTTTCCATTCTGTTTCATTTAGTGACTAATTGGGTAGCTTCCTGCTAGGAATAGTACTAACAACCTAGTAAATTTACTTATAGTGTACATGTATAATTAGCTTTTTTGTTATCAGAATGTTCATTTAAGGATGCTAATTCCTTCTTGAATATTTGTTTGTATAGGTCTTATTTTAAACACTCTAGTTGTCATTTTACTTAATATTTATAAAATTACTTTTTAATGGTCGGTTCTTGCCTTTTCTGTTTTAAATGTCACATTGGATATTTTAACAGGTTTGTGTTCCAGACACTTTAAATTCCTCTCAAGAGAAATCACTTGGACCCCTCAAATCTTCTCAAGATATGCCATCAGACAATAATTCAGATAATAAAATACTAAATGTAAAAAGATCTACGATTTCTTGGGAAAGTAGTCTGGAAGATCTGGTGGAAGATGAAGATTTGGTTGAGGATCTAGAAGTAGCTGAAGGAAACAGAAGTGTGGAGACTGAACTTACTGATGAAGAGCTAGATAAAACATTAGAGGATGACAAGGCTTCCATTAGCCATGAGGAGAAGAGAGTATGTATTAAGAACTTAAACTTCTAAGCTTGGCTTATTGTTATTCTGAAGTTAGAGTCAATAATACTTAAGGCTCCCTCCTAATTTTTTCCAGTAGCACACTAAATTTTTGTATCTCAACTTTATATTTTGAAAAATTTCAAAACTACATTAAGACTAGTACAATGACTATCCATTTACACTTCACCTGGATTTGCCATTTGTTAACATTTTACTATATTTTAATTCTTTTTCTAAGAGTATTTGAATGCACATTTTTTTCCTCTGTAGCATTTGAAAGCAAGATTCAGACATAGTGATACCTTATATGTACTTCAGCATATATTTCTTAAGAACATGGATATTTTTCTTATGATGAGAGACCATTTTCATACCTAAGCAATTTAATACTGCTATAATAGTATAATCCATCTATTATATTGTCCACATTGAGATTTCTTCAGCGGTTCCAATATGTCTTTTATAGCCACTTTGTATTTTTAATTATTCTAATATTATATAGCATAGATATTTTTAAAAAGTTGAGCTCAATTTAGAATACCCCCAATCTGGATTTGTCTGATTATTTACTCATGATCCAGTTTGATACTTTGGGCAAATCTATTATATAGGTGAAGTTGTGAAATTTTCATTGCAGCGCATCAGGAGACATGTGATGCTTGATTTCCTCATTCTTGGTGATGCTAATTTTTTTAGTCCATTTTATTTGATTTCAGAGAGGAAGGGAGAGGGAGAAAGAGAGAGAAACATCAATGATGAGGGAGAATCATTGATCAGCTGCCTACTGCACGTCCCCTATTCGGGATCGAACCCACATCCCTGGCATGTGTCCTTGACCAGAATCGAACCTGGGACCCTTCTGTCAGCAGGTCGACACTAGCCACTGAACCAAACCACCTAGGGCAGTGATGGCGAACTTATGACACGCGTGTCAGAAGTCACATGTGAACTCATTTTTTTGGTTGATTTTTCTTTTTTAAATGGCATTTAAATATATAAAATAAATCAAAAAATATAAGTCTTTATTTTACTATGGTTGCAGATATCAAAAGATTCTATATGTGACACAGCACCAGAGTTAAGTTAGGGTTTTTCAAAATGCTGACACGCCAAGCTCAAAAGGTTCGCCATCACTGACCTAGGGCATGATACTAAGTTTTGCTCTCTTGGTTAAGGTACCGTGTTTCAGATCTCTTCATTGTAGAAGCATGTCATCTGTGACATGCACACTTTGCTACCGTGTGCATAGCTTGTCCCCAGTATCTTTTTACGCAATGATTTTAGCGTACTCCTTCCAACTTCTACTTTGCAGTCTTAAGTACAGATGCTCAAAATGTCTACCTAGTATCAATCATTCTATTCAAAAACCTGAATTACTTGATTCTCTTATATTTATGGTAAATAAGGTTTAGGTTTAATAGCCTCTGTCCAAATACAGTAACCTGTTTTCATGGATGTGCTTTAATGGTGTTAACACATCTCACATCATAGTACTTTATTGGGCTGTAGAAGTCCAAGTAGATGGACAATATAATGTGTTAAATACTCATTTTAATAATTTACTTCAGTGTCCTTGAAAGTCATCCTTGCACCTATTTTGGAATTGAGAATGAAGACTGGAGATGCTACTGGTTCTAGTTTTTCTGGTCACTATGTGATTGGACCTCACTTGTCTTGAGTTTCTGTAATGTAGTATTTCCCTGTGATAAAAGAAGCCATTAATAGTCTTATTTTAGTTTGTAGTAATTTATTATTATTATTATTATTATTATTATTATTATTATTATTTTCAGAGAGAGAAAGGAGAGAAGAGATATAAACATCAATGATGAGAATCATTGATTGGCCTCCTCCTGCATGCCCTCTATTGGGGATTGAGGCCGCAACCCAGGCATGTTCCTAATATTTGAAGCATCCCACTTGATTTTTCAAGTACTGAATCTGCAAAGAAATAATTTCCAGTGTGAATATGATTACTGCTAAAAGGATGCATAATCATAATTGACTCCATGAAAAGAGTTTTATTTTAAACACTTGAACAATATTTCTCTTGGGATATATTTTATTAGAATTTTAATATTTATATGTTTTAGAAACTGTTGGACTTAATAGAAGACTTGAAAATAAAGCTAATAAATGAAAAGAAAGAAAAATTAACATTGGAATTTAGAATTCGTGAAGAAGTTACACAGGAGTTTACTCAATATTTGGCTCAACGGGAAGCTGACTTTAAGTAAGTTATTTCTTCTATGTCCTGGTAAAAATTGAGAATTTTATTCACTTGTTTAATTTTTTATTTTTATTTTATTTTTTACTAATTTTATATTAGGTGGCTTCTGAATTCTCACCTTTATAGTTTTGAAAAATAGCTGTTACTAAACTCCATGACGATTTTGAATTACACATGAATAATTACTTAAATCTGCTTTTAATTTATAATGTCTTTAATCTTAGAAATTTAAAACAAAAACACAAAGTAGGCCTTTTTGGTTTTTCAGTGGAATTCATTTGTGTTATGCAGGGAAACACTCCTTCAGGAACGAGAGATATCAGAAGAAAATGCCGAATGTCGTTTGGCTATCTTCAAGGATTTGGTTGGTAAAACTGACACTCAAGAAGAACCAGTAAATCAAGATTGTGCCATGAAAGTTGAAACCAAAGTATGTTAACTGAAATATTAAAGTATTGAGGATTTTGGTACCAGGATTTAGTGTACCACATTAGTATAGTTTAGAATTACAAACTTACTGTATAGCTTTTTAAAATTAATTATTCTTTGTTAGAAATATAAGGACACATCGTTTAACTATAGCTGTTGGAGTTGAAAAATTTGTATATCTGTTATATTTATATCTCATTTTGGTGTTGCTTATAGGTAGGTAGGTTCCTTTTTGTCTGATTATGGGGTACCCCTCAGATTTGTATTAAACTGAAAGAATTTTAAAGTTATACAGAGCCTAATGGTTCATTTACTTACTGCTCTGATTAAAACAAAAACATTTATGTATAAAGAGGATTGCTCTTGCTAGCCAGCCAACCATTCCCTACTATTTGAAGAAAACATTATTCTTTTCTGCTTTTTCCACTGAAGCTGAAATTGATCACATCCCTTTGGGTTTTTTTGGTTGTTGTTATTTTATTTTTTATTGATGATTTTAGAGACAGGAAGGAGAAGAGAGAGAAAAACATCGATCTGAGAGAGAAACATTGATCGGCTGCCTCATGCGCCTGAGCTGAAATTGAACCCACCATCTTTTGGTGTACGGGACGATGTTCCAACTGAGCCACCCAGCCAGGGCTTGTTTTATTTAATTACTCAGTCTGGGGGCTTGTGTTCATGATGTCCAGGCTTTTGCTGTCAAAGCAGCATTATGTCTCCCTGACATGGTTTGGGTCTTGGTCTAAGCTGGGAAAATGGAGCTTTGTGTTCTCAGTTGTCCCACAAAACCTTTAAGACTCATTGTGTAACTGAAAGTACACCTGAACTAGATAATCATAATTGTTCTCTAATGACTTACCACAGTTTGCAACATTATTTGAATGGGGATCTGTGTCTCATATTCCATAAGACAGAAAATGAATACAACTTTTTCATAATTGGAGATACTTGATATAATTTACTTTAAAAAAATTTCAAGTTAATTCTTTTGTTACATTTTTTAAACTGTCTAATAAATCAGATGGTATCTCACTGTAAGAGTGAAAGCCACTGTTAACATAGGCATGTGGTTTTTGCTATTTTTAGGAAGCACATAATTACGTAGGAATCGAAGATATTATTGATTCTCTTCAAGATGATGTCACTGATATTAAGAAACAGGCTGAAATTGCTCACTTATATATTGCATCTCTTGCTGATCCCCAGGAAGCTATTGCTTGTTTAGAAATAAAGTATAATCAAGTTAAAGCTGAATTAGCTAAAACTAAAGAAGAATTAATCAAAACCCAGGAAGAGTTAAAAAAGAGAGAAAATGGTAAGTAGTTGTATTTTACTCTTATTTGGATGATATAAATGCATAAAAAGACAACTGGTTAATATAAGAGATTTTTTTGTTTTTAAATCCTTACCGGATGACATGTTTATTGATTTTAGAGGGAGAGGAAGAAAAAGAGAGAGAAACAAAAACATCAATGTGAGAGAGACACACTAATCAGTTGCCTTCCGTATGCGCCCCAACCAGGACTGAACTTGAAGTCTAGGTATTTATTGCCTGGACCAGAAACTGAACCCTCAGCCTTTTTGGTGTGCAGGATGACGTCCCAACCAACCAAGCCACCCAGCTGGGACAGTATAAGAGATTTAGGCAACTTATTTACCATTGTGACCAGAAAATTATGTGATTTGGTTAACATAGTTAATATTTTAACTTTTTTATGGCTTTATAATAATTTACTATTAAATTTATTTTTGCTTTTATTTGCTTTTAGACTAATATTAGAAAATAGACTTCTTAAAATAAAAGAACTAAGTATTAGCTTCATCAGCAAATTAAGCAATCTCATGGCAAGTTGTAAAGTTGTAAATTTGTTCTTTATTCTTTATGAACTCTTCTGTATTTTTATTTTTTTTATTATTTTTTTTAAAATATATTTTACTGATTCTCTACAGAGAGGAAGGGAGAGAGACTGAGAGTCAGAAACATCGATGAGAGAGAGACATCGATCAGCTGCCTCCTGCACATCCCCCACTGGGGATGTGCCCACAACCCAGGCACATGCCCTTGACCGGAGTCGAACCCGGGACCTCTCAGTCCGCAGGCCGACGCTCCATGCACTGAGCCAAACCGGCCTCGGCTGTATTTTTATTTTTTTATTGATTTCAGAGAGGAACGGAGAGGGGAAGAGTGATAGAAATATCAATGATGAGAGAGAATCATTGATCAGCTACCTCCTACATGCCCCACATTGGGGGCTGAGCCTGCAACGCTGGCATGTGCCCCTGACCGGAATCGAACCTGGGACCCTTCTGTCCACAGGCTGACGCTCTATCCACTGAGCAAAACGAGCTAGGGCAACTCTTCTGTATTCTTAATGAACTCATACAGTAGTAGATTCTACTGTTGGCTTGCAAGTTTGGGATAGAGTGACTCCTCTGAATGGTCTTAAGAAGTCTATGTGATGCTTCATTCTAGTTCTGATGATCATATCTGGGTTTTAAGAGCATTAGTTAGATAAAATACTTTTCCCTTTCCTCTGAAACAAGATTGTACAAAATAGCAGGTAAGCCTAGCCAGTGTGGCTTGGTTGAGTGCTGTCCCATGAACCATGAGGTTGTGGGTTTGATTCCCGGTCAGGGCATATTCCCCGGTTTTGGGCTTGAAGCAGCTGATCCATGTTTCTCTCATGTTTCTGTCTCTCCCTTTTCCTTCCTCTCTCTGAAATCAATAAAAACATACTTAAAAAAAATATGAAAGAATGGAAATAGCAGGTAAGTTGTGCCTTCTACATTATAAAGCAGTCCAGGAAGGTACTAGCTTCTCTGAAGTTATGCCAGAAATTTTTTACTATTTAGCATATGTCGTTCATTTTTTTTCTGAGTATTTAAAGTAGCTTTTTCAGAAACATTATCCTCTGGTGATAGAATTAGTAGCTGAATGCTGTGCTTCTGGTGCTTTCAAAATCCTTTTTTCTAAATATAACACTAGTTGAAGTGTTTACTGTAGCAGCTTCTGTTTTGTGATTATTCAGTGATAATTTCTTTTAGGTGCTTAAATGTTTGTTCAATAATTTTATTTTTTACAGAATCAGAAATTAACTTAAATTCATTGGTTCAAGAGCTTGAGAAATCTAATGAGGTAATACTTTAAGCTTTATTTTTATCTTGAAAAGAAACTTGATAAGTAATTGAAGGGACATGAATTATAACAAGGTACATTTATTTTAAACATAAAATAATAAATTAATTGATTGAAGAAATTGAAAAATATATGTTTTCATCCTCATACCCCTTTTCAGCGATGGCCACTGGGAAGCTTCTTCAGGCCTTCCAGAAAATATTTACTTACCTATATAGAACACATACACATGTACATACACCTGTTAAAAAGTTTATACTAAAGGGATTGTCGTTCCGTGTTTTCCCTTAAAAGTTTTCTTGGACAGATCTATGTCATTTTTTGTTTTTTTAAGCTAGGTGCATGGTGATGATTTAAACTGTGTTTATTTTGTCTGAAATTACTGAGTGTTTTAAATTATGGGATATGGTGCAGGTGGTGTGACTCAGTGGTTGAGCAACCTGTGAATCAGGAGGTCTCAGTTCAATTCCCAGTCAGGGAACATGCCTGGGTTGTGGGCTCGATCCCCAGTTTGGGGCATGCGGGAGATAGCCGATCAATGCTTCTTTCTAATCATTGATGTTTCTGTTGCTCTCTTCCTCTCCCTTCCTCTCTGAAATCAATAAAAGTATATTTAAAAAAACAACAACTATGCGATATGGCCTGAGCAGTGTGCAGCATTGGAATTCTGAAGATCTCTGGCACCTTTAGATCAGATAACCATTCCAAATGGTTGTGTATATTTTTGACATTGATAGATCTAAATATGAAATTACAAGTATACATGGAGGTGAAATTAATTTAGAGCTCTAAAGTTACTATGTTTCCTGACCTTCTCTGGCATGAGTCTTATTATTTTAACTTACATTCATCCTATTGAAGAACTAAAATATTTTAGGATATGACCAGATATGGATATACTCAGGGTCTTCGTATCTAATATCTATATTTAAAGAAGTAACCACAATAATGTAGCAGAAGACATTATAGCTACTGTTTAGACAACTCCTAAACTTTTATTTTTCTAGCTATAAAAATAATAAGTGCTAGTTGTAAAAATGTAGTTATATTAAACTATGCAAGATAGAAAATAAAAAAGGTCCCCTGTAATCTTTCTCCTAAATTACAAAACAGAGAGAATACCAATAAGTTGGTTGGTATCTCTTTTAGACTTGTGCTTTACATATATTCATTTAAATCTCAAAAGAACTTCATGATATAGATACTATTATTTTTTATTTTTACAGAGACATTAAATAACTTACCGTATTTGCTGGCGTATAAGACAATTTTTTGGCCCTGAAAAATATGCCTCCAAGTGGGGGGTCGTCTTATACGCCAGGTACACTTCAGATAGACTGCCCATAGTGCTTGCCCCGTGCCATAGTGGCCTCCCGATGCCCGCCCACTTCATTCCACATACCGTTCAGGCATCAGCAGCGCTGCTGGGCGTATGC